ATTGAAGTGACCAATTTTCTATAAGTGGATATGTCAGAAAACTTCCCTTAGTTGTCTACACATCGACTTTTAAAAATTTTATTAGTTTATTTTATTTTTTGTAAATTATTAAAATGCATTAAAATATTAAACAAAAGCTAATTGTGATAAAAATCCAATAAAACAATGACCCCTGTCAGAATAGTCATCACATTTAAGAGTTTGATAAATAGGCCTAGCTTTGATTCACCGTTGTTTATTCATCTACAAAAATCAATCCAGTCATAGTTGAGGTATGTTCTCGCCTGGGTTTACTGTGAAATATGTTTTGTGAAAAGGGAAGCCATCCAAAACTAGAACCAAAAAGCAGAGACAGTGTTTGGTCTCTCTTAAAACATAGCACTCCAATGGGAACAGCTCCCTGCAACAACAAGCATGCAGCCTGACATGTGGAGACAGATCCAGGCACAAGTGAATGTTAGTATGCAGTGAAGCACAAATACTGTAGGAGGCAAATTCATGAAGGTGAAACCAAACAACATCTCCAAACTCACACTCAAACAAAAGTTTGATAAGAATGTGTTTTATCTATTTGGGTGTCAGCCCAGAGATGTCGATCCAGCCCTGTCGGTCTCTGCACGTCATACTTTGACCCTTCAAAGGTGACACCAAATTCAATAAAAAGTGCTGAGCCTGTATGGAATTTATTCTCCATGGTGACAGATGCCTGTTTTTTTTTTCTTCTTTTCTGGAGACATCACTGCTCACAGGCAGAGCAGGTCAAAAGTACAAGATAAGCATGTTAGTATTGAGCAGTCGGCTGGTAAGAAAAAATCGTTGTCATTGACCTGCAACAAGCTATCAGATCACCAAACACAGCAGCAACTGATCACATTACTCGCTTGTGTATGTGCAATAATAAGAGCTGCAGGTTGGCCATGCGTTAAATAGGAAACATTATCACTGTAGAGGAGTCAATCACAGATCCTTATTCTAAGACAAGCTTTTAAGGAGGTTTTGTTTGTTGTCTTTCTAAAAGAACAAACCCACCTGCCTGTCAGTGCAAACCTGCTCCTCTATTTTCTTTCAAATATGGCCAAAAGGAGAAGCTGCAGCCCCTCGTGTACCCCCCTCACAGGCTTAAAAAATGAGCTTATAAAGAATCACAGCCAATAATGAAAGAAAGCAATGTCTGGCTTTTTTCAATTCGAACAGCTAAGTAGCAATCTGAAGTCAAATAGCCGTCGGTAACCGGTGGATGATGTTTAGCGCCAGCTCATTTAATTCCTTTATTATTTCTCAGCAAGCTCTCTGCTTCAGAAATCACAGGAAATTGATTCCATTATCTGTATCACTTTTTCCTCTGTGCATAGCACCTGAATATGAAATGCAACACAGCCGCCATCTTAACATCTCTGCCGCTGAAGTGACATAACTATTGTCATGGCAACAAACCCCTTTTCTCTGGAGAGTTGTAGAATGCAACATCCTGTTTTTGGAGGCAGGTGTGGATGGAAGTGCTAAAAAAACGATGACTTTCAACACAAAAGACCTCATTCAGTGACTGGACATGAATATCGAGTCGTAAAGCGAGGTATGAACCAAGCAGAATTGATTGACTGACAGTTTAAAAAGCATGTTTTAACAGAATACGCCTCAGACTGATTAAAGCTCTTGTGAGGAACTTCTGTTCGGTGGCGTCCCCAGTGGACAACACGGTAATCAACCTCATTTATGCTGAATATTTTATGTGGAAATTGTAAAAAGAAAAAAAATGACTGTTTCCTTTAGGTGCATATGTGTCAACATATGCTGATTTTATTTATATATACTGATATTTACAGAGCTTGTTACAGGTTTAAGTGAATGTAAATGAGTTTTAAGCTGGTCATAAATTACCCTCACTTTAATTCTGACGCACAGAGGTAAACATGACCATCTGCTGAGAGATTAGCAATTTCTAGTTTCCTTTAAAGTCTACAACCACTGTCGACAGGTTTACTTACCGTGTTGAACATGACACACCAGAAATCGCCTTTATATACATTTTAATAGGAGGGTAATAAGTGGTTTAAAGGACACAGAGGGCTTTTTTAATAGAAAGTCTGACACAGGTATGAAAGAAGCAGCCTTAGAAGGACCCTTCATATTCAGCAGAGACTGTTCAGGCTAAACTGAGATGAACAGAAGGATATTTGAGCCAGGAAAAGGAAAAAGTAATAAAAGGAGGAAGATTTTTTTATTATTATTATTGTGTACTGTGCGAAAAGGGAGACACAATGTTGAGAACAGAGTCAAAACATTGAAAATAAGTCAAACCTTCAAGAATGAAATTAAAATACAATTTCATGTGTTTAAATCACAATATTGGGAGAAGTAGTTTGAAATCTAATTTGAGAATAAAGTTGATAGTTACTTAGCGTTGATATTATCCCTCTGTAAAAACATTTTGTAGTTTTAAATGTTCTTCACCATAGAGTAAATTTTTCCTCTGTATTTACCTCCATATAAAAATAACTGCCTGCCTGCCTGAACTAGCACTGAGCCAAACTTTTGGTAATCACAGATCTGTTTTAGTCGGAAAAAGGTAGATCGCCTTCTACGGGTCGGAGGGAAGGTCTTGCTACGAGTGGAGGAGTTCAAGTATCTCAGGATCTTGCTCATGAGTGAGGGTAGGATGGAGCGGGAGATTGACAGGCGGATCGGAGCGAAGTCAGCAGTGATGCGGACGCTTAACTGATCTGTCGTGGTGAAGAAAGAGCTGAGCCGTAAGGCGAGACTCTCGATTTACCGGTCGATCTATGTGCCGATCCTCACCTATGGTCATGAACTTTGGGTAATGACCGAAAGAACGAGATTGTAGATACAAGCGGCCAAAATGGATTTCCTCCGCAGGGTGGCCGGGCTCAGCCTTAGAGATAGGGTAAGGAGCTCGGACACTTGGGAGGCGCTCAGAGTACCAGAGAACCGCTGCTCCTCCATGTCAAGAGGAGTCAGCTGAGGTGGCTTGGGCATCTGCCTACTAGACGCCTCCCATTAGAGGTGTTCCGGACATGTCCCACTGGAAGGAGACCTTGTGGCCGGCCCAGGACCAGGTGGAGGGATTATATTTCTCGCCTGGCCTGGGAGCGCCTGGGAATCCCCCTGGAGGAGCTGGTGGAAGTGGCTGGGGTGAAGGCCTGCTCCCCCTGCATCCCGGATAAGAAAGAAAATGACGATGATCTGTTTTGGCCTATTAAATGGCAGCATGTTTCATGAAGTACATTTTCCAACTTGGCAAAAAACTGTCTAGTAGTCTAGTTAAAGTGTTTACTGAGCCTGGTGAGTTTACAGTTTACTAAATTTTTAGGGGATGTTGGCAATTAGAGAAAAGTTTGGAAGTAACTGTACAGACCTCTAACCAATTAATGCAGCATGTGACGTAGAACATAGCAGCAGATATACAAACAGTCAGCAGGATGCATTTGACTGAATGATTTTTATGAACTCTGTTCAATTTAAACAGTTTTCACATTAAAATCTAGACAAAAAAAGTTGATAAGAAGCCATTTGATGGTAATTTACTGCCGATAGGCCAAAATAAAATGTCACAATAAAATGTCACATAAAAGCCATGCCTCTAAAAGGCTTCATTGCAACCGCCAATTGTGTAGATTTCAGTTTCAATTAATAAATACAGATACTCTCTCTATTAAAGCGCTGAAAGTAATCATTCCATTAACAAATGTGACAGCTAGACCCTCAAAAGCTGCTCAATTTGCTGTTCAGTGCAGATTTTTGTCTGTCTTTGCCAGAGAATAGACTGAGCGAGAGAGAAAGAAAGAGTCTTTTGATGTGACTATACTCAAGGACATCGACACAGCACCTTGCAAAATCTAATTTCCATAGTGTGAAATTTCCTCATTCTCTCCCATGATAGCTTCATTTCATAGTGAAAGCTAATTATGGGTGCTATAATTTCTTTCAGCAGCCGAGTCATCAGCTGGTCAAACACAGAGCCGCTTGCCAAATGACACAATATAATTGCTGTGGCAAAAACAAATGGTTTTAAGATATTGGTCCTCATGCTTAATACATTTCAGCACCGAGAAGAATATTTGTTTATTCTGTCTCAGTCTTTGTGTGTGTGTGTGTGTGTGTCACTTGGGGTAACTGAAAAGTTTTCTCATTGTTTGCTTTCCCTCACATCACTCTACTTTCTCTCTCTGTGCCTCTTAGAGTTGTTTATTCACTCAAGCAGCTGTCTCTCTTTTCAACCCCAGTGAAAAAGCAGAACAACAGTTTTACAAGCAAAACAAACAGTCAGCCCACCCCTTTGACATTGTCTAGTTAAAAAAAAGAGGGTCCAACCAGATTTAAGATTCACTGGGGTTGCAATCTGCATGCTAAGGCCCATCAATTTTTCATGGCTCTCACACTATGAGCACTCACAGCCAGGAGGGGGTAATGCAAAATTGATTTGTGTATTAAAACTGCTTAGCCAAGCAGGCATCACTGGGAAATGTAGCGATTACCCCCTTGGGACTAGAGAAGGCCATGTATAGTCAAAGTGATCTAAAGAGGGACTCCTCTGTTCACATATCTTCAACAAACACGGTTTATAAATAGGGGAGACCGGGTATGGTTGCAACACGGGGAGAGTTGTGATGCTACCAGTTCCACCAATCAGGGATAAAATAGGAGTCATATGATAATTGTAGTATTTACCACAGACTGTTTACACCAGGGGTCGGCAACCTTAAACACTCAAAGAGCCACTTGGACCAGTTTCCCACAGAAAAGAAAACACAGGGAACCACAAAACCTCTTTGACATCTAAAATGAAGATAACATTGCATATATCTTTTTTTTTACCTTTATACAACGTATATAAAAAACTGTAGCGAGTTGCATTTATGAAATAAATGAACTATTTCGGCGAGTGTCTGTCTTCTTCTGTAGTTAAACCGCAAGATATCAAAATCTACCCGGATACAGCAATGCTGCTTTTTGATTGGCTGTTCAGTAGATATACTTTATTTGATTGGCTTGTGCGTGGCACGCAGCTTCTGAACTCTCGGAGGAACTCAGTTGATTTCCCCCAGTTCCATAGTTGAAGAAGTGCAAATTGGTGGACATCACCGTGTTCATTTAAATGCGTGAGAAATACAATGTGTGGTGTGTGAGCGTGTGAACGAGTGGGAATGCGTGTGTCATACGCTGAATGCGTGAGACTTGAGAGCCCTGTGCTCACGCATCATCGATGTACTCCCGAGCCATGCAAAACGGTCTTTGCAAATGTTGCACTGAACGCCTTCCTTTTCAGTCTTGGTGAAGTTTTCCCACACCACTGATGTTTTAGGTCGGGATTTGGGTTGGGTTGTGTCCATGTTTTTCTCAGCCGCTGCCTCGGCCATGGCTGTTTCTTTTCTGTGCATTCTGCTGATGCTTACACGCTGGTGTCCATGGACATATATAAAGACCCGACGAATCGATTACAGAATTTGTTGGCAACGGATTTTTTCGTCACGACGAATCTACCTAATCGATTCGTTGTTGCAGCCTTAATAGTTTATTTAATGTTACAAGAGCATTATAATCTTTGAATTTAGAATTACAAAAAAATAATAATAATAATAAAATAAAATAAAATGCAATTAAGTATTTATTATTTATTTTCCAAATCCATTGGGAGCCGCAGCTTAGGGAAGAAAGAGCCGCATGCGGCTCCAGAGCCGCGGGTTGCCGACCCCTGATCTATACTATGCTGCATCTCTCTCCACGGTATCATAAGTAATGTAATCCAGTATTAAAAGGTCAGTTATGCACATTACAGTGGTTTATTGCATTAAAAGTTATCGAAAAATGAAGTTGATGGCGAAGTATAAATCACGTCTAGAAATAAACCGAATCCCGACGTTGAAATGAAGTATAAATTTAGACTAGACGTCTAATATACGTCTTTTGCTCAGTGGGAAAACAAACAAACAAAAATACAGTCAGAAAATAAATACCAGGTAAGAAGTAAGAGAAAAGATAAGTTGTCCAGACGATCAACAATCCTTATAATATTTGTCCAAAATGGAATCTGTTTTCAGAGCCTTCTTACTCTTAAGTCCATTAAAAACAGTGCAGTATTGCTTAAGTTCATTTTGGAAGTGGTCAAAGCTATTAGAGTTAGTCCATTTTTTCTTGTGAATGTGAAATTTCCCAAGAAAAAGAAGTAACTGTACAAAAATAATAACAATCTTTCCCTTTCTGTTTCTCTTCAAAACAAATAAGGATATGTTTGTCTTTAGGGGTGGGGTAGTCTGTAACAAAGGATCACCATGTATTTGACATCACCTCATGAGGTCTATGACATTCTTGCAGAGGTTTAAATTGGTGCCATTTGTAGTAAACAAATGTGGGTACTTTGTATTAAAGTTTGAGAACTGTAACTCATAAATTCAGGGTGTTAACGGTGCTGAAGCAAAAAGTGTTACAACCATCCCTGGTCTCCACTAACACATTATACACATTTGATACTCAGCCGAGAGGTGACGGCACATGCTACAAAACTAAAAGAGCCTTGATTTACTTTGACCAAACAGTCAGTATGTTTACACGCACAGTGAAGTCAAGTTATGGTCATAGCTCCAGACTTTCAGAATCAGCCTTTTCAACAGGCGACCACCATCAAGTCCTCTGCAGCAACCAAAGGGTGAAACCGCACCCTTTCCCCTGTTTCCTTTGGCCTTTTCTATTATTGTTCGAGAGACTATCGCAGGAAAAAGTGTGGAGAGACCACTCTCTACTTCCACCAACCAAACAAAGGCAGCAGGAAAGATGACACACATAGCCTGAATTGTGGGCCGATGCCCATATCACGCAAAGTAGAATGACATCATTAATGTCACAAGCTAAATAAATGATGTGACGACTCGAGCAACAGGACACTGGTGATCTAACCGTTTGTGCCTCAGTGATATCACACACAGCTGGACACGCTGAAGTCAGAAGGAATATCAACCACGCAACGTCAGCAGCGATTGAGCACGACACACCCGTGATGTCTCTGGCATTACGCCAGGAGCAATGTCACAAGCAATGCAGCACCAGTGAAGTCATGAGCGAGATTTACCCGGTGATATCACAGGTGTATGATAGCAGCGATGCCTCAGTCTATATGGCACCTATTGTTGAAGTGAGCAAACAGAGCAGGAGATGTCACTTGGAATATGAAACAAGTCATAACAACACAAACGAGAAAAAAATGATGGTTAGTAATATCACAAGAAAAATAAGCACACCTCAGCAGTGATGTAATATTTATGCCAGTCACTTTGTGGAAGGAAATAAGACACCAGTGATGCTGCGGGCTATTATACACACTTGGGATGTCTTGGCTAAATTGCCAGTCTCGTCTCCGGCAGTAAAACCAGCGTTGTCACCAGTACTGCCCCTATCAACATTCACTCACTGTCATTTTCCGAGTAACACAATGAAACACACTGATGTTTGGTGGGTGACAGATGCCTTACAGTGATGAGACACTCCTTTCACTTTCATTTTTGCCTGTGGACACATTTTTTAGTTTAAATACCTGCAGCTGATATGATATTATCTGTTGGTGTCAATGTTTTTCATAAGGTCAAAAGGATTGGCAGTCCAGTGACCTCGATGTTTGGTGCTCTGCTCCTTTAATATAAAAGCAAGGACAGATGGAGTTTGACTCTTTTGACTGGATTTATGCTCGACTGTAACTTAATGATCTATTGAAAGGCCCTTTTGAATTATATCAATATGAAATCTTGTTCGTAATTAAAGGAGAATAAAGCTATCTAGAGTTAAAGCAGTTAAATGAAAATCGAAAGTGATTTTTGGTATAATTCAAGTTTTCAAAGAACCCAAGGCTGGATGGACAACAACACACCTGCAGTGATTACATCTGCTATTAAATTACTCATACACTTCTCAGGAAAGGTGAAACTACATCATTCACAATGTTACAGTGTAGCCATTTATTGGATGTTTTTGCGCATATCTAAGTAAAAATCTGACTAAACAGAATCAGAATCTGAAATACTTTAATAATCCCCAGGGGGAAATTGCTTTTGTCACAGTACTCCAGTGCAAATACAGTAAAAAAGGAGATAAATAATAGATAAAATAAGTAAAAATAAAGATCTTTTATACAACACAAACAGTAACATCATATGCAAATAAAATGTTACTTTTTGTGTTGTATATAGAGTACATACTTGAATATTATCTCTTCATTTTTACATATTCGACTTATTTTGTCGATTGATCTCTTTTTTTAACCCATTTTATCTATTATTTATCTCCTTTAAACAGCTCAAAAGAAACACTTACACAGTGGAAGTCAACAGCACCTTGTGATTTGTAGACTGCAATGTGTGACTAATAATGTCTTAAATCATACGCACCCTCAGGCTGATTTGGTTGTGATAAGGAGAAAGGATTTCACCCCCTCAGAGGTCACTTTATTTGGAGCAGGGAAGAGAAGCCGGTGTAATCTCTGCGTGAAACAACATGACCTGTGTCCGTCCTGGATTTACAAATGCTCACACCTCTGTAAAGAAACCTCGCCGACCAGCAGAAAACATTACTAACACATGCATATTTATCAAAGCACGTTCGTAGGGGTCATCAAAGGAGTCGTTCCGAGCTTCCTCACCTGTAAATATTCTGTCCTTGAATGGTGAAGAAGGTGAATACCCTCCGCTGCTAGAATATTTACCTGCCCTTGCTTTGGCAGGTCCAACCATTATCAAAGAGATCTCTAATATGGTCAAATGAGCTCAGGTTACAGCCTCCGTGGGCTGAGATGACATGAAGATCTTTTTTTAAATATAAAACTGAATTGTTCATCAGATTGATTAAAAATGCAACACCTTTTGCTTACCAAGAAAACTTATTTTCATAAAGTTTGACTACATTTCTGCCGGCATTCAAACAACAATTTCATAGCTTCCCCATAAATTACATACCCATCAACTCAACCCTCCCACATTATGCTTTGACAACTCTTCAGCTCTGAAAAGCACTCAAAGGTCATTTTTATCCCTCAACATGAAAAGCGCTCTCCAATAAAAAGTAATTTAATCATTATTTGCAACAGAGTTGGCACACGTCATCCGAGCCGCCAAACAAGTGGTGAGTCATGGTCGGCTAATGGTCAGCTCAACAAGCAGAGTCGAGCACAAATGGAATGCCAGTTTTTGATTATTGCGGGTGTCATATAAGCTTAATTCTGTCCTGATCTGATGTCAAAACATGTCAAAATGAGGGCCTGCTGAGGGAGGTTAAGAATATTAGGTGGGCCTCCGTAAGCGGGCAGAAAAGAGAGGTGGCTGAATGTGACCAGGAGTCCTTATTAGATACGATATTTGATACTCTTACAAACTCATAGAGACAGAAACAACAATAGTCTTAACAGGAGAAAACTCTTAAAGCTGTTTGGAGACTAGAAAAGCAAAGCAGCCTACTCTAAAAATACTACTTATTTATTTTAACTGCTGCCAGTGTTGAGTCTTCATCACTACGTCCGGTTCACAGATTCTGGAGGTAGAGTATTTTCAAAACTCATCCATTTTCATGTTATCAAAGCTAAGAGTAAGTCAAAATCAGGCATAATCACAGGCATGGCAAACTGACAGCTGGGTGTGTTGCAGCTGTCTGCCTGTCTCGACTCAACTTCTTTACCAGTTTTTAACCAGCTGAAAGTATGACTCAGCAATTTCAGTACGGCGACCATGGGTTTCCCAAAGAACTAGACAGATACTTAAACAACAGAGAAGCCACTGGCCTTGTGATTGGAGCACAGCCCATATGTTCATGCAGTAGTGGTTGCTAGTTTGACTTCCTATGTAGCTAATTTGGCCACAGGAGAAGCCTGAACTGTGTTGGAGGGCCGACCCAACAATAACTTCAACTTCAAATCAGGTGGGGTTCACACATACAGAAAATAAAATAAGCAACTACTAGTTAAAAACAAGCCCCAAAAAAGTGCACCCGTGACTCACGAGTTTTACAATTGACATCTGAGAGAAACAAGTCTAAAGTCGTTTATAATAAGCGAACTTGGCAACTATAAGGTGTCTACAAATATTTTGCCGATGTTTGAACTTGTCTCTGTTCACGAATAGAGATCTAGGATGCATGCACATGTGTCCAAACAGAAATAAAACAACGGCTAGGTATTCAAAATGAAAGCACTTTTATAAACACACTTTTATAGCATGTTGATGATTTGATTGATGGACCTCACGAAGGGCCAGGCAGGGACATCCAAAGGGGCAGATGGCCCCCGGGCTGTAAAATGCCCAGGTCTGCTCTAGGCTATCTTATTCAAAAGGCAAAAAAGCCCCCAAATAAATATGAAAAAACACTTGGTCCATGTTCATACAGTCAATGGTTT